CGCTTAGTAGCCGGTTAGTAGCCACTTTGTGGTCACTAGCCGGCTAGTAGCCGGTTAGTAGCCGGCTAGTGACCACTTTTCAAGTGCCGGTTAGTAGCCGGTTGGTAATGTGAAGTTGAGGAGCTGTTATTACAAAAGTGGCTACTAGCCGGCTAGTAGCCGGCTAGTAGCCGGCTAGTAGCCGGTGTTCATATGGTACTGTGCAGGGACGTTGCATAGACGTTGCATAGACGTTGCATAGACGTTGCATAGACTGACCGTGCAGGGAGTGTGCATAGAGTGTTCATTGTGCAGGGACGTTGCATAGACGTTGCATAGACGGTTCTTTTGTTGTTGCATGGACGTTGCATAGACGTTGCATAGACTGTCCGGAGCTAAACGACCAAGTTGCCCTTGCCAGCATTGTGATATTGTATGCGCACGCAACGTTCGCTCAAAGTTTGCACGTGCGAAAGGTGAGAATTTTGCTCATTTGTGATTTCGAATAAAATCTGCTTTCCCGCGATATTGAAATGGAATTATATATGAATTTAATGCCAACTTGAATGAGTAAAAAGTGCCATATTCAAAATTTCGAAATCGATGAAATAACCTCCTAATTATTAATATAAATATCAATGAAGTTATGAGTTTACATTTCGGCTTTGTAAATTATCCTGACATTATAATCAAAAAGAGATGATATTTGACCAAAACCCATAATCATGGGTAGAGTGTACCGCTGCCAGTGTCTCTCTTTTCCAAACAAAAGGAAATGATATTAATTTGAATAACCGTCCGCAAATGCAAATTGATACCGAGAATGAAATCGGTCGCTCGCTTTTTCCATTCGATCACGGCTTACGAATTGTAATTGGTAATAAAGCTTATTGTTGCATTTGTTTATTAATCCGGATGTTGCTCTATCCAGAGCCCTTGCGCTTGCAGTAGCGCGCGCCCGCCTCACGACTTGTGAAACAAGCGCGCCCGAAGTGGCGCGAAAGCACATGGTTAGGTGAAATCCTGATGTAAAGTCTTGTGACATATTATTTGAAACGTTCAAACTTCAATGTTTTGATCTACACCGGCATTTTCCCAATTTTAAGACTCACACATCGTTCAGGTTCAGGACGAGGGAAGTACGGACAAGGAATCGAAGTCTGAAAGTGAAGCTTGGAAAATATTAAAGAAACACGCTATTCTGTCCACGTGCTTACTCACGTGACGTCATCTCTATCTCTATGTCTCATATCAGTAACACCTCTTAGCGTGGGAATGAATTGTATCACGTGGTGACCCCCACTGTCGCGTCGCTATAGTGTAGAGTTTCTACGATACAGGGGGAGCCGCGCACTCGTGCGCGGCGGGTCATACAACATATGATTGTAATTGCTGTTGTGAAAATGTTTTTAAAGTGTTTTTGTTTATAATTAGTAAACTTAATAATGACGGGGCGTCATATTAAATTATGTTCGTGTTTTTTTGATTATTACGTCCGATGGACAGAGCTTTTCATAAACTTTAACTTTTGTTAATTGACGGATTTTACTCGTCACTTCGTCTTACAAGCATCCTTTTGTGGCTGATCTTACTAATTCGCTCGCCCAAAAATTTCACGTGACTTTGGTTTTTATGGTTTTGCAGCCGTACAAAACGGTTTTACATAAACACTTATCCCAACCCTAACCCGAGCCCTAAACAATCGAATTCGTATTTTACTAGCCTGTCACGTGACCAAATCGGTTTTTTGCCCATAACTCTCCGATCCAGGGAAGCATTTTAACCCTACGTCATGGGGGTGATTCGGAATCAGCGTCCAAAAATACATCGATTCCGATTACTTTCATGCCCAAAGGGCCTTTTCACAAGAATTTTCTTAAAACTGTTGTCACCATGACTGTTGTCACCATGACTGTTGTCACCATGACTGTTGTCACCATGACTGTTGTCACCATGACTGTTGTCACCATGACTGTTGTCACCATGACTGTTGTCACCATGACTGTTGTCACCATGACTGTTGTCACCATGACTGTTGTCACCATGACTGTTGTCACCATGACTGTTGTCACCATGACTTTTGTCACCATGACTGTTGTCACCATGACTGTTGTCGCCATGACTTTTGTCACCATGACTGTTGTCACCATGACTGTTGTCACCTGCATGACTGTTGTCACCATGACTGTTGTCACCATGACTGTTGTCACCATGACTGTTGTCACCTGCATGACTGTTGTCACCATGACTGTTGTCACCATGACTGTTGTCACCATGACTGTTGTCGCCATGAATTTTGTCGCCATGACTGTAGTCACCATGACTGTTGTCACCATGACTGTTGTCACCATGACTGTTGTCACCTATGACTGTCACCATGACTGTTGTCACCATGACTGTTGTCACCATGACTTTTGTCACCATGACTGTTGTAACCATGACTGTTGTCACCTGCATGACTGTTGTCACCTGCATGACTGTTGTCACCATGACTGTTGTCACCATGACTGTTGTCACCTGCATGACTGTTGTCACCATGACTGTTGTCACCTGCATGACTGTTGTCACCTGCATGACTGTTGTCACCATGACTGTTGTCACCATGGCTGTTGTCACCATGACTGTTGTCACCATGACTGTTGTCACCATGACTGACTATAAAAATAGTGAAAAATGATTAATGAATGCTGCCACGTCGCGCAGCTGGGTGGTGTAGGGGTTAATACATTTGCTTCCCAGGCCACGTGGACGACAGCTCAGGGGTTCGATTTGGGTATGAAATTGATCTAAATCGGTGTATTTTTGGACGCTGATTCCGAATCACACCCCCCCCCCCCCCCCCCCATGACGTAGGGTAAAAATGCATCCTATCCCTGGAGAGTTAATATATTGGCAAAATACCGTTTTGGCAACGTCAAACGTGACGAATAATAATACATAATATAGTGCCAGTGGGTACGTATGACGTAGAAATTATGAATAATCAATCTAGATAGGATCGAATTTACGTGACCAATTACATAGTTAAGATTACTAATACTAGGCGGCGCTCAGCCTGTCATTCGGTTCATGGACACTGGAGCTAGAGCTTGAGATTCCCAGCTGGCCAGGTAAGGACTGAACCACGTTCTATATCAATTGGGTCGTTATTGAAATGGCTTAAACTATGAGGAACTATATGCGTAAGGCAGGGATGTTTTAACTGTTTATTTATATTGTATGTATAAATATAAATAACTTAGAAAGATACAAGGGGGGGGGGGGGGGGCCATGGCATAAATGGCATAAAATGGCATAAAATTGCATAAAATGGAGACTTTTTCTATGGAGAAAATGGAAAAACCCATGAGTAATTCTCCATTTTCTCCATTTTATGCCGCGAATTTTGTCTTCAAAATTTCATCTTTAACACCATTTAACAGTAACACCTAAATTGGACATCCTAACATGTTTATTTACGCTTACTAGGGGCGTAACAAGCTTATGAAAGCTCATAGTAGGCTACTAGATGCTTATACTAGGTTAGTAGAGGCACACTTCAGGCAAACTCATAATTACTCCAGCCTAGTTTAAAGTTATTTCTACAGGCTACAGCTAGCAGGAGTGAGTAATAGGGGAGAGTAATAGGCACTGAGAAGTGAGACCTACATCCTCGACAGTCGAAACAAGCTCGCACTGCAAAGGGGAGGCCTGCCTTCCAAGATCGCATTACCAGGGGGAAGCCTCGAGTCCAAATTTGTGATTCAAGGGGTAGTTGCAAACTTCGATAATAAACCGAAAAACCAAAAAAATATTTTCAGCTTATAATGAAGAGGTTAGCATGAAACGTAGAGAAAAGTGGTTTTTAGAAAAACTTTGAAAAATTTTGACTTAGAAAATTTTTGGCCCGAGTCATTCTCGAATCTCGATACGTACCTCTCGTATCGAGAGCTCCCGATTCCGACTTCCGAGCTCGAGTTGCAAAGGAGAGGCCTGCCTTCCGAGATCGCATTGCCATTACCTGATTACCAGGGGGAAGCCTCGAGTCCAACAATAACATTGTGTACCGAGGGGTAATTTTCTAAGTCTAAATTTTTTAATTTTTTCTAAAAAACCGCTTTTCTCCACGTTTCATGCTACTCTGTTCATTATTTGCCGAAAATATTTTTTCGGTTTTTCGAAGTCCACACCTTCCCCTCGATACACAATTTTGGACTCGAAGTAATGCGATCTCGGAAGGCAGGCCTCCCCTTTGCAACACGAGCTCGGAATCGGGAGCTCTCTGCTCTCGATACGGGAGGTACTTATCGAAAATGACTCAAATAAAACCGAACATTTTCTAACTCAACATTTTTCAAAGTTTTTTCTGAAAACCACTTTTCTCCATGTTTCATGATACTCTGTTCATTATTGGCCGAAAATATTTTGGTTATAGGTAATGCAATCTCGGAAGGCAGGCCTCCCCTTTGCAACACGAGCTCGGAATCGGGAGCTCTCGATACGGGAGGTACTTATCGAAAATGACTCGGAACGAACATTTTCTAAGTCAACATTTTTCAAAGTTTTTTCTGAAAACCACTTTTCTCCATGTTTCATGATACTCTGTTCATTATTGGCCGAAAATATTTTTTCGGTTTTTCGAAGTCCACACCTTCCCCTCGATACACAATTTTGGACTCGAGGTAATGCAATCTCGGAAGGCAGGCCTCCCCTTTGCAACACGAGCTCGGAATCGGGAGCTCTCGATACGGGAGGTACTTATCGAAAATGACTCGGAACGAACATTTTCTAAGTCAACCACTTTTCTCCATGTATTTTCATGATACTCTGTTCATTATTGGCCGAAAATATCTTTTTTTTTAATAATTTTTCTCGAAATTCTAAATTTTTCAGGTTTTCAATGGCATAAAATGGCATAAAATGGAGACTATTTCTATGGAGAAAATGGAAAAACCTATGAGTAATTCTCCATTTATGCCATTGGACCCCCCCCCCCCCCCCCCCCCCCCCCCCCCCCCGATACAAGTAAAACAAGCACATTTTGTTGGGAGGCAAAAAAACACTAATTTTTACATCTTCCATAAAGCTTGCGACGAAAATCAACTCAAATTGGTTTGCATTAAAATAATGTCTAGCAAAAATATACATAATAAGATAAAAGCAATAAAATTTCGATAAAAACAGTCAAGGTCTAATAACACCAAATTGATTGGGGTTTTTGGAATCGTCGCTAGGCTTAGAGTTACTCTGATAGAGATGGGCAAGTGGTCCAAACTTGCCAGCAGCAGCCGCCGCCAGCTGCAACTGCTGATGATACCCAGCTAAAGACTGCAGTAAGCTGGCGCTGGTCACCTGGGTCAAAGCAGGATCCGTCGTAAGCTGTTTGTACAGCTGCGGGTTGAGTCCAATAGGGTAGCCGATCTGATTGAGCATGCCCCCGCCGTAGGGTAGGTGCTGGAGATGCTGGTTGGGAGCTCCCGAGGGTCGGTGAAGGAGGGACTCTTGACGCTGGGCGAATAAGGGGCTGTGAACCTGATGGTCGCGGCTTACTGAGGAGGCGGCGTGTTGCCGCTGTTGAGCCAGTAACCGCTCCTGCTGCTGCGACAACAGCCGCTCCCTTCCTTGCTGCATGATCAGCTCCGTAGGGATTGTCCGTTGTCGTGGACTATGCTGTCTGGGGCCTTGTCGAGCGCTCTGGAGGTTGTTGGGCTGCTGCCGGAGCTGGGCAGCTGCTGTGGGGAAGGCAGGTTGTGAGTGCACCTCTTTCTCCCCGGCCCTCCCGTGTAGGTCAACTAACGATCCCAGGTCGTGCTGCATCAGTTGCTGTGTCAATTCGAACTGCTTGTTCAGTTTCCCGGCTGCTGTTGTGGGGATGGAGTTGGGAAGTGAGAAAGGAGAGAACGCCCTGGAGTAGAGCTGCTGTCGTGCGAAGATTTCCTGCTGCTGCTTTTTGGAGAACGCGTCGCTCTCTACAGTTAACCGTGGTTTGGGCGCCTCCTTACCCCTCTCATGGTCGATTGAGATAGTCTGATGGTTGATGGTGACGACGGGTGTGCGATTCACTATCTGCTGTCCTGACAACTTGCTGTGTTCTAACACACTGTCAGACAGATTGATATCGTTCCTCGAGCAAGAGTTCAGTGAAACTGACACGTTCGGCTGGTAGAACTGTCCGACTGTGGAGGGGGAAGCTTTAGGCGTGATAGGAGAAGTGTTGTTGGTGACTTTAACCAGGGGCGATCTTCTGCCTGAGAACTCAGCTCGCAAGTCCAACCTCCTGTTCTGAGGAGAGTTTTTAGGAGAGGGTTTGTGCAGAGGCAGTCCGTTCCTCAGGATAGGAGTGGTAAGGATGTTGTCCACACTGGTTTGGATGGGAGAAATGGGAGAGACCCGCGAACTTCCAGGCCCCTTCAGAGTGACGGGAGAGGAAGGGGAGATGGGAGAGGTTACCTTGACGGGAGAAGTCGCTTCTTCAGGGAAAGCGAAACGTTTCTTTTTCCGTTGTTCTCCGCTAGACGGATGGTGTTCGTTGCTGGCACGTTTTGGAGCGACCTGGAAGAAGTGTGGATTAGAAAATATTCGATATTAACAAACAATTATTCATGCTACTGGCTAAAGCAAGCTGATCTTACGAATACAATTAGTGTTATCTATAAGTGTTATCTATTAATATATTGCTCCCTCTTCCAGAAACTATATATAGTTTCTGGAAGAGGGAGCAATATATTAATAAGTAATATATATATTACTTATATATGAATATGAACTTACGTTCATAACAGCAGTAGGTGATATGTTGTTAGAAGGAAGACCAAGATGGTTAGACTTTGTGGTAACAGCGATCTTGGGGGAGCTCAGAGGAGGGGGTCCGGTCCTGATGATATGTTGCAGAGAGCCGTGTTGGAAGATGGAGTTGTGAGCAGGAGTCAGCATGGGAGGCTTGCTGGGTCCCTGGAGGTTAGGGATCCCCATAACCAGCTCCGGACGAGGGGGCTTGTCGGAGAGTTTAGTGACAGGGATCTTGGAGCTCATTACAGGGGGTGTGGTCGGGGATTTGTTGATCCGTGGTGGTAACTGAAATATAAATATTTTAAACTTTGTGTGATTTACAGCTAATTATCCTAATTACAGTCAATTATCCTAATTATATCCATATTCCACTATCTTGAGAGGGGTCCAACAAAGCCAAAGAAAAGCTTTAATTCAATAAAAATTCAAATGTTAAACAATATTATCGGATCAAACTAATACCTCTGGAGGGTTAGTAGAGTTAGCGTCGTTAGAAAAGATGGAATCGACCAAGTTCATCTCGTGCTTAGCACCTTGCGGAGTCCTAAACTTGAACGTTTTGCTTTTCTTGGTGTTCCCAGAGAAAGGGAGGGGTTTGAACTTCGGTAAGTTGGGGTCTTGAGCTTCAGAGGTCGGTATAGTGGGAGTTTCTTTAGTGGGAGAGCTCTGTTTCACAGGCTTGAACTTGGAAATAGCGTTTGAGACACTGATGGTTGGGGTTAGCGGCGGTTCTGATAGTTCTGGTTTTGTTTCAGAACTAATTTGCTTCTTTAATCGAACAGGCGATCGAATTTTCTGAGACATGGCTGCTTCAAAAAGTCCGCCGCTGTCGCTAAGCCGAACCTTAGGTTTTTCAGTTTTTGGTGGAGAAGGTCTGGTTGAAAGTTTGGGAGCTGAAGCAGGTGAAGGTTTAGGAATGACCACTGCAGGTTTAGATTCTTCTTTGAGTTTTGGGGATACTGATTTAGGTTCGAGTTTAGACATTTTAGGCGATTTCAATGATTTAGGTGGAAGTTCTTTCGGTTTTGAAAATTCACGATTGAATGATTTGTTAGGCTTGCTCTCAACCGGGGAGATCACAGCAGTCTGATCAGGTTTGATAGTGATACCCTTCTCTGAGTTCTCTAAAATGTTCCTGATCTTCTCACCATCAGACTCTATACTGTCTCTCCGCGATCTCCTCTCTCTTAACCGCTCGTTAGATTGTCTCCGTTCGTTAGATTGTCTCCGGGGTTTTTCGGCTGATCTCCGTCTGTTCTCCCTGGGTTGAGCTACCGGTGTGGTTCCTCGCTCAATTGGACGTTCGGTTGGACGCTCTGTTGGCCTCTCTGGTGAACGCTCAGCCTCAACTAAAGGTTCAGTAGATTGCTCAGTTGAAAGTTCTCTTGAACGCTCTCTTGAACGGTCGGATGAACGGTCGGATGAACGCTTAGTTGAACGCTCAATTGAACGCTCAGCTGAATGCTCTGAAGATGAACGCTCTCTTGAGCGGTCGGTTGATCGCTCGGTCAAACGCTCAGTTGAACGCTCAGTTGAATGCTCAGTTGAATGTTCTCTTGAACGCTCTGAACTTGAACGTTTCTTTTGTGGAGATCTCATCACGACAGAGGACGATCCTGGGGCCACCTCTTCGCCTGTTCCTTCTTCTTTTGGTTCGCCGTAGAATTTTGGAGCGCAAGCTCGAGATCGACATTTGATACGCTCGGAGACAGAGAGGGAGTAGTCTCCCGCCGAGAGGGGTAGGGTAGAGGGGCTACGAGGAGGAGTGAGGGGGGACTTGATGGAGCCGTTACTTGTCTTGGCGTACTTCACTTCGGCTTCCTGAAGAAGATATGATCTTAGAAATAAGAATGCGACTTTTTCGAAAGACAAAAAGTTTGTTTTGCTAAAATATGTGAACGAGAAGAAGGGAGATGGGATTGGAATAAAGAACAGATAATGTATCAACTAACCTCCTGATCCTCGTTGGGGGAAGATTTCTCCAATTTCTCCGGTTTATCAAGTTTATCTGGTTTATCAAGTTTATCAAGTTTATCAAGTTTATCAAGTTTATCAAGTTTATCCAGTTTATCCAGTTTATCTGGTTTCGTTTTAGGTTTAACGGTCCTCTTTCTTTCATTTTCTCTATGAATATGTACTTTTTCTTCCTCTTGTTCATCTTCCTTTTCTCGTTTTCTGTTCTTCACGGAAGATGTGGCCAGCAGCTTGCTGGTAACTTTGGGCGGCTGAAATAAAAGGTTACATTTATCTCTTGAAACATCAGGCAAATTACAGCCACTGTAACCAAATTTCGATACAAGACATCGGAAGGAAGAGCACGAGCGAAGCTATATTTAGGGAGGGTCTTTAGATGATTAGCGTAATCAGATAATCGAATAGTCATTACTCAAAATGAGATTGCAATTCAGTTATTCAGCCTTACCTTGATGGTCAGTCTATTCGGCTCCCTGGGTATTCCCTTGTGGTATATGATAATGCTGTCACACATCCTGTGTTTGACAGCATTGGCTGCCAGGTTGGCCAAGGCTGTGGAGAATACGTAGGATTCCCTGAAGTTCGGCTTGCTAGCTGAAAGTGATTACTAATTAGAGTTGTTCTATTGTTTAATCGATCAAAGTTTATTTTGTCGATCATTATTATAAGTATCGAATGTTATTATAATCGAAATTGTTGATCAACATCGCAATATTTTAAATTCCTACACCGGAAACGAACTTCTAAAGCAAAGTAAAAGATCTAAGAACAATCAATCCAACTCAAAACCAAACTTACTAGTCTCATTGTAATTAGGTTTATTTCTGGTGCACTTTCTTTTCTTCTTGATGGAGGGGGTGTTAGCATCGTTATCCTCACTAGAGGAGGATCCGGAACCGCTGCTGTCGGAGGTGGTGGGGGGCGACGCGCTCGGCACCACGTACCGCCTCTTGCTGCTACTTGTCATTGTATCTAGTGGAGAGGGAACTGGTTAATTAGGGTAATTAGTAGTTAATTAATATTCAAATTGAGCGCAGTGGTAAAAATATGACAGATAAAATGGATATTATAAGGTTATAGATAACTAAATAATGATATGAAGCAGTGAAAGCAGTAAGATGGATTACAAGGGGGAGAGTGTAACGTACACGCAGCAAATTACTTAATTAATCGATTAATTAATTAACCAATAAGTCCTATTAATTGCTCAGCAATGTTAACCTGAACCTCTGAACTTGTTTCATATTTGTTTGTTTCCGTAAACACCTTTCTCTCATATTAGACACAAAGAATTTATCAAAAATAACAAAGAATACATGATAAATCCACAACATCCAACCAGAAACTTCCATCCGCATTGAGAACTATCATTATATTAATATATCATTAATATATCATTAATCAATATTTACTACTGTATTCCACTTGCTTCTCAAAACTCACGTATAAATCATACTACAAGGCAAGCTCATAAAATTCCTCATGTTTCTCATGAGTTATTAAATAAAATTGCCTAACTCTCAAAACAAATTCTAATTCAATCGCGATAAATAATTTATTCTTCTAAAAACCTATCATATACGATACAAAAGACATAGCCCTTACCAGTTATGAAAATATATAATATTTACAAATATCTCACCAGCTCAACTGGACACACCGAACACGAAAAATGACTCGACTTTAATTCAACTTTCTGAGTGGAGTCTAATTCAAATGACTCCCACTTCAAAACTCCACTTTAACTGATACCACTTTGATTAAATCTCCTTCAATCGAGTCTGCTTTATTTTGCTCCACAAACAACTAGTGCCGAACTTCAAAACATTTCAATAAAAAAGCACGACCAACACAGGATAAAATACTGTGAGGAGGACCTGAACAATCAAGCTATGAGCCTGGTTCCTGGATCCTCTTAAGAAAGAGTTACTAGCTATATCCTTACTCGCCAATATTTCCCTGCCTGTTTCCCTCATCTCCGGCAGTGATTTGGTTCCATGAAGGATTAGTCTCCAGTACATGAAACTTATCTCACCCACCCCATTATTCTTCACTGTGAGTTTCCACAGCCCCCGAGGGCTCTCCCCCCAGTTATGGACAGTCATGAAGGGCCAGGCAGTGAAGCCAGTGGTGCTGGTATCGAAAGTTCTGGGAGCTAGTAAGTTGGACTGGGTACCAGAGGGAGAGGTAAGGTATAAGGAGATGTCTCCTCTTTTAGCAAGTCCGTTGACTGTGTTACCAGTAGATACCTCACATTGCACGTGTTCCAAGTTGAGGATATCACCATTACACCCGCTACTCTCCACGCTGTATACCACTACTTGACCTGGATAGATTGTTTGTTCTGGCCTCTCTAGGTTTTCCTTGCAGATACGCTTATCTTCGACGTTGTTCCACACTCGAGCTAATGCCACCATGCTGCCCGCGTCGATAACCCCAAAACCAAACTTGTGGGAAGCGTTGAAGCCAGCACCATTTTTGGTCCAGGCACCCTTATCCAGGTTCCGTTTCTTGCTGGTTCTCACAACAAGATGTTGAAGATCTCTCCAGGATAAGCCAGGATAAGCCTGCAGGACAAGTGCGAATATCCCTGCTGCTAGCGGTGCGGAGGCGCTGGTGCCTGTGTGCCGGTCAGTGCACTTAGCGTCCAGATCGGTGGTAATAATCTGCCGTTCCTTGCTGCTCCCACTGGAATATGTCACAGCCAGAGTGGAGCTACATTCCTCAGCGTACCAGGGCTTTGTGCCTAACTCAGACACCGAGCCAATGGACAGAGTCCATATTGAGTTGGTGTACCCGTCGCAGTTACAGCTGTCTTTAGACGTACCCCCGTTACCACTGGCCCACACATATATACTGCCCAGATTGTTCCGTCCATGCTCAATACCTTTTTTCAGGACTGCTTGAGTCAGACTACCAGGACCATCCACTGTTTTACCGTCATCATCTGGTCCCCAGCTCGCGCTGTATATGTCAATATAACTTATGTTGAAGCCCAGGGCTTCGGCTTCGACTGCGTCAGTCACGTCACCGTCCAGCATTCTGATACCTCCGATCTTAGAGTTAAATGCTGCTCCTACACCACAATATTCGTTATCAGCCACAGAGGCTACCTCGCCTGCGCAGCGTGTTCCATGTTTGTTCTCGTTTGTTGGCCTGGGTTTAGGGTCATGGTCACGGTCGTTCAGATCTGTGCTTGCCCATTGTGAATAATTCGGCTTCAAATCAGGGTGATCGTGCGCCAAACCATCGTCTAGAATGGTAACAACCACACCGTCACCAGTTGCATTCTGTAACCAGGCCCCTGTCACATTGTTATAGTCCTTCTCCAGGTACCACTGTTTTGTAAACTCGGGGTCTTTAAACTGGAAATATACCTGCTGGTCAGTGAACTCACGCTTCCGCCTGTTTAGCAGCGTCTGCTGGACGGACTCTAGGACGTGCCTGTGTGCCAGCACTCGGTGAGTCACGTCAGCTCCATGATGGGGAGAGTAGCGAGGGTAGGTGGCGTGTTTGAATAGATAGTGGTGCGGCAGGCTACCTATCCGACCTAGATACACCATGTTGAGTTCTTGTGCGACTAACCGGGGATCCGCAGTAGGGTGGACCCGGACACTCCAGGTGTGGTGAAAGACAGTAAGACATTTCACTGAAGTGAACAAGAATAATAAGAGTCTGGGGATCATGAAGCGGGGGTATCTACCAGATACTATCAATATCTCGATACTAACTCTCACAGTCTGTTCTTTTGCGGTTCAAGAAGAAGGTAGAATTACCAGGATACAGTGATCTGGATACGCCGAGATACTATCCAGATAAAGTCAAATTCTCTGAAGAGACACCGTCAACTCGTAGTAATCACGTCGTCCAGCTTAACATAGGGACCTATACTAAATCAAGTTTGATATAACGTAGTGTTTGTTTGAAAGAGTTCACTCTCCCTTGGAAACAAGTTCAGACGCTCGAGTAAAACACTGACCCCACTTCATCGCTACTTAATCAACAGCTAAACTGAGCTAAGTGATTGTACCAAGCAATTTTGAACTTCCAAACAAACACCAATTTATATCAAGCAAGATTGAAAATGAAGAGGAAAAATGCTTGGAAGTCACAAAATGTAGATTGGTACTATCATTCTCAGCATGATCACTGAACAGGACACCGGTTTAAGCAATTACCTATAAACGTGACTAACAAAACTAAACTTTCATGACAAAACACGTAAGAACCGGTACGAACTAACACATACGAACTGCTGACTGCTGATATGTTAGGAGAAGGAATTCAACAGACCATAACAGACTGACACTATCACGAAGTAAATTATAACTTCTATTATAGCAAAATAAAATCACCGCCGGTTGAGAGCGTTTTACCCACAAAGTCACGTGCTACCACCCACAAAGTCACGTGCTACCACGATCACTTGATCTACCACGGTACATGCTTATCGGAGGTGATATGTGAAGGGTATTGACCACGTGCTGCAAGCATTGTCAGGCTCCAGACTAAAGATAAACGTGGGGTCACGTGGGTACACGTTCTCAAGAGATCACTAGAGTGGATACTCGAGCCAAGTTTATGGTGAAACAATGGAAACAAAGGGCGAGAGAACAGGATTTAATGTACGGCTACCTGGATGAGAATTTCAAGACAATGGCAGAGAATCGGGCTGATTTTCAGTACACGGGAGAATGACGGTGTAGGGACGTGCGAAATATCCCGTGATAGTGTGAGCTGTCACGTGATAGTGTGAGCTGTCACGTGATAGTATGGGCTGTCACGTGATAGTATGGGCTGTCACGAGGGGTGTAAGACTGTACAAAATAACACAAACTAAATTATGAGAAAATGGAGCACAGCAGTGGAATTGAGCATACATCAATTTCCGGCCCAAATTCCGATTACTTAATTATTCGGATACCTGCCGGCTCGGAGATAACACAGAATGAAACGGATAACGTTCGATAATCTCATTATACGTAATGCCTAATTCTAGCTACACTAGTGTCAATGTGTACAACCAATATTTCAAGAAGAGCAGTACAAAGTACCAACAAAAAGCAGTAACCAGCGCACAAATAACGGTAACCAGGAGTTACTAGGAGTTACCATGAGTAACTAGGAGTAACTAGGAGTAACCAGGAGTAACCAGGAGTTACCATGAGTAACCAGGAGTGGCTAGGTAACACCATGCCAGTTCGAGAAACGTCAACAAAAAGCAACCCAAGCCAACACGCCAAACAACTGACAAGTAAATGTATTGACACTAGAGCATTGCAGTTCCAAGTCCTGCCAGCCACACTACAAGAATGTGATGACTTAGTGTATGTCACGTGACAACTATTGATGACTTAGTATATGCGGAGAGGGAGCGAAGTGGCGACGTTACGTCACCTTATACCGAGCACTAATAGCTGTTAGTTAACTGCTCTACCCTTGGCACCCAACCAAGTCTGAGCAAGCCTGGCAAGTACCCAAGTCTCAACATGTCCGTATAACAGATCACACCAGAGAGGAAGAGTGAGAGAGAGAGAGAGAGAGAGAGAGAGAGAGAGAGAGAGAGAGAGAGAGAGAGAGAGAGAGAGAGAGAGAGAGAGAGAGAGAGAGAGAGAGAGAGAGAGAGAGAGAGAGAGAGAGAGAGAGAGAGAGAGAGAGAGAGAGAGAGAGAGAGAGAGAGAGAGAGAGAGAGAGAGAGAGAGAGAGAGAGAGAGAGAGAGAGAGAGAGAGAGAGAGAGAGAGAGAGAGAGAGAGAGAGAGAGAGAGAGAGAGAGAGAGAGAGAGAGAGAGAGAGAGAGAGAGAGAGAGAGAGAGAGAGAGAGAGAGAGAGAGAGAGAGAGAGAGAGAGAGAGAGAGAGAGAGAGAGAGAGAGAGAGAGAGAGAGAGAGAGAGAGAGAGAGAGAGAGAACCTCACATGACTCACAAACCACGTGACCATTATATACGCCTCATATAACCACGTCACATAAATATTATTACAAACAGTACCTGGGGACCTTGTTTAAGAGAGAGAGAGAGATAAACCTATTGTGTGAGACACAGGAATATACTGGAGAGAGTTATAAATATTATGAAGGAGTAACCAGAGGTTATAATTGTAAGTTGTTTGACGTAGGGGAGGCTATATTTATGTTTACGGAGGGATAATATATGCGGTGTGTATAGATAATGAGGGAGTGTAACGAGGGGGTGCTACTGAGAGACTCCACACTCACATGTACCATAATAGTAGTGACTAAACTAGACGTTAATGTGTGTAATATACAGACCACATGTGGGGCGGCAGGGCTGTAGAGAGAGTGTGTATTGGCTGTACTCATGAGAGGGGGGTGTGGAGAGAGTGCGGGGACCAGTGGAATGGGAATCAGTAACAGAACGGGGTACAGTAGTAGTAACGGGGTATAGTACAACATTTGCTGAGTGGAGCTTAGATAATCCCAGGAACTGATACAAGTGAAGCACGCAAGTTTGTATTTATGGAACAAACGTAGAACATGAACGAAATGGAAAGCTTTAGTCCGTAGGAGAGTGAATAATACTATGTAGGATTGTAGCTTATGAATGGTATCAAGTAACAGTCTAATAACACAGGATGTTATCCCCGCCTCAACCGTAGTACAAGCAACAACAAAGAGAGATATACAGAGAGAGTGCTCTCCAAGGAAGCCTCGTAGTAATGTACAGAGCGCTCCTAACACGGATATACATTATGATCACGTTCCAGCCAATAAGAAGTCAGCATCCCGGATATAGACTTATGGGAGAGCGCTATGGCAGTCACGTGGGTGCCAGAGCCACGTAATGGCCGAGATCATGAATATAATAGGCTGCGCTAATGTGTGTAGTGTGTACGATGTATTTACTATTATATTAGGAGTTATGGCTTGTGGGGAAGTGAAGTTCTCCTTTATCTATCGAATTTAAAAGCAGGAAATTCAGACGTAAGACCTATATATAGAGCGTTATGTTTTTCTAAGAGATATATATCTGGTCACTACGACAACAACAATGGGAGAGCACAAGAGAAGCAGCAATTAACGACAAGATGGCAAACGGTCTGATATCGAGCTAAACAGGCGGGGTATCTGTACATATCTGATTTGATTTCGGTAAAATATCTCATTATTGGGTAAGGTGGCACCAGATAGGTCGGATATCATGTGATAGCCGATTATTAGCCGCAATAAGACCATATCAGATGTACAAGTAAATATATCAAATATCCCCCAGGCAGCTCTCTTTCTAATTGCCTCCGAATATGTACGCGCTAACTGTCCAATCAGGTCAAGGTGGGAGCGTAATGTGGGTTGCTATGGCAATAGTCACGTGGGGTGATGGTGTGTATTTTAGAGGACGATACGACCCTTGGGGGCTGTACAGTGTACAATGTTGCTAAGCTAAATGCCGTGTATTGGAGCAGGAAATGTATAATTTAGAGAGATTAGGGGTACAAAATATAAATACCTCTTACACAGGATTACATGCCCTTTGTAAATATATCATTGAGAGGCTTGAGATTCGGTAAGATTCGGACTAAAAGTGAAGGAACCCCTTAAATACCGCTATAGGAAAAGGAAACCTTTTATCTTTATGGTAATGCTTATTAGAATGTGACGCGAATTGTTGAACAGGTTTCCGTTGAAGAATTTAAATATCACGTTTAACGCGACCTGACTCGATAACTCGAGAATGGAGGGAGTAACAATAAAGTCACCCAGTACAGCTAATTACAGGAACCATTTCAAGGTATTATTTAATATTGCATCGTGCCAAAATACAACACGGATGTAAGTTGACGGGTGATACAACCTCAGTACTCTAGAAATAAAGCTTGGTGACAGTGTATAGTGCGGGTAGAGAGCGGAGTGACGCTGTAACAGGTAGCGAGAGAGCAAGACAGTCGTCTTGTCAACAACTCGGGCAACATGCAACATCAATGAGTACGGGAGACAGCGACACTCACAGCACACTCGAAGTATTCGAGACAGGGCGTTTTAACTTTTAACATTAGCGGAATTAGACTGTAGATAGCTGTGTGGAATGGACTGTAGAAAAAGAGATAAAATTGGCTGATGCAGATTAGCAAGACACGGAACAAATGGAACATAAAGCGGAAACTCAGAACCACAAAACTAGCTGTATGCCAGTATACTGGGTGTTACAGACAGCGTTACAGAGGGTGTTACATAGAGCGAATGAAAGTTTCTGGCATCATAGCGGAGTTTTCTGAAATAGCAACGCATGTGCTCCTTCATAAATATAACGCCAGGCAGAAGCTAAAACAGTAGATACTCAAGGAAAAGATAAGATGTGAGTAGGTCACAGATCAAGAGTAGTGTAACATTAAACTGCACACACTACATTATAATATTACGCGTTAAAGATAAAAGAATATTTTACGCAATGGTAGCAACAATGTGCAGAAACATTTTAGGATTACACTGTCGGACACAAAAAACTACACACAATGTACTATAACATGATCAGAGTAGAAAAAAGTATAAACCCATCAAGAAGCAAAAACAACTGCTCTGACTGGTCAATGCTCGTCACGTGGTGCAGATTGGGAGATTTCATTGGCACCAAGCCAATTGACTAGACGCCAGGAAATGGGATGAATAAAAGAAAGCTAAGCAAGGAGACTTGTTTCATATATCGGTCACACTCACTCCGTTCCGAGGAAATTAATTTCAAGGAAAAGGTACCTACATCCTACTCCAATGAAAATGACCATATTTCTTCCTTTCACGGTCGAAACTTAATATCAAACAACGAACAATTAGCAGCAAACAAATCACAAACTGCAGATGTCAAAAGGTAAGAAAAATTGGCGATATCTGGGAAATTGCGGCGATATTTGAATGTTTGGTGTTACATCACCCCAACTCTAAATACACCATCAACCAGGCGGCCTATTTGTGAGGGTGATGTAATACATTTCCTGAGTATTCAGAGTGATGGGATTGTGATATTGAACCTGACACGTGATCACTTTTAATTAGGTTAGGTTGCACCAGACTCTCAGCCCACATTGCGGGCCCCACAGAGTGGTTAAATTCATCGTGTGATAACTGAGAGAAACATGAATTTGTGTGTTACGTTATCTGGCTCCTAATGCTGCATCAAAAGCTTGCTTTTAAATTTCACTATCAGATGTACGCGAGACAGCTTCAAGAGTTAGGGTATTTAATTGCGAGAGTTCGGGGAGAGTTCAATCTGGGATGATTGGATTCTTCAAGACGGACAAATCTTAAACTGTCGAAAATTTCACTGAACACTGTCACAATTTTCAATATCCTAAAAATCGCAGGCAGGTATCTAAACGGTTTCGAGAAAGGTTAAAGAGAATAGGCTGTCAAAGTTTCTCATGATACCACTTCCAAGCCATTATTCCAGGAAGTAATCAAGCCAAAACTGCTCAATCGGTTAACTAGTCGGATAACGAAGTGACAGGGAGAGATTTCTTGAGAGCAAGCCAACCCCAATCGGACCATATCAAGAGAAGCGTATTACAACATGCTGAGCCCAGCAGCAGACACACAAACTAGACTCTAAACGACTCAACTGTAAATAATAAATGTGCAGCACACAACTCTCCTGTCAGCTCATATATTGGGTTAACGTTCAGATCGCATTACGTACAACGGAAACTACAGGTCACACAGCTCAGGAGGGGAACCTCCTATGAGGTTAGGAAAACACGTTGTATATTATACTCCGTGTAGAATCATCGTTATCGATACCCGATACCCCCTCGGACTGTGTACCAATCAGAGGACAGTTAGAACTACTGTCAGCCAATCAGAAGGCAGGAAGAAGTGTCACGTGCACCAATAGGGGGTCTCAGACGAGAGTTATTAGTGTACAGCGATGTGCTGGTATATTTTTCTGGATATATATTATAATGCAGCTGCTCGTGTCTCCTGATAAGGTAATTTAATATAGAGATTGAGTTGTCCGAAAGAGACGTCCCGCTTTGCGACGATCACGTGGAGAAATGCAGCAATCTGATTAGTAAGGAGGAGGAGCACGTGGGCAGATGAATTAATGTGATTGGGCGAGAGAGGCACGTGGGCTAAGGGACAGGCGTTTATTGGCTACAAATTCCAGGGAGCAGCTGGCCGGAGTTTTCTGTATAATTTGATGTGAAACGAAAGACGAGGAATGGGTCACGAGATTGGCAGAACACAGAAAAACTTACTAAAGCTAACGCCTCCAACGGGGTGCTAAGAGCTGATGTCTCGTTTGTGAGGGTGTGCCTGATTAGTACACAACCAAAAAGAGGCAACGGGCCAAATGACATGGTTTGACAGAACTTCTAGCAACGCAAAACCAAAACTTCAACCGTAGCACTCAACAAAATAGACCTGGGAATACCATATCTACAGCCACCGCCTACGTAGCAGCGTCTTCACAAAGGAACTGAAGAAACCATTATTGGAAATCGGCGAGCTTTAACTCTGCAGTCCTGTAAAATTGCGCCAGTCGACAGAGAGTACCAGGCACGGCAATGCACGTCATTTATTCTGGGCGGAGGAGGTTGGCGGCGAATCACATATTGTTTGGACGGAATAACAGACAAGCGGGCGGAGATAAGTATTCTGAATTGATAAGTCGACCATCTCAACCTGTATATTAGAGTACGTCTAGGACAATCAGACTCTGAATTATGCAAAGTAAGTACTAAATATTGAACTGCATATCAGCGCTTAATCGATATATTCAGATGCAACTACTGACTACTATACTGGCTATATACTACTTGGAGAGATAGATGGTATAATTATTAAATGTGTGCAGCCAAGTGATCTTGGAGGGTTCTAAATGTGAGGTAAGGGTGTGTCAGGAACTGAGTTGCGTCATTTGTACGCTTTCTGACGTCACAACAGAGCGGAGTATTACAACTTCTTACACTAATAACCAGTGTTTCAGCAACAAACCGCCTAACAAAGTGAGTTTAGGCATATTTGTGGGTAAACTGACCGGTTTACCCACCGCTCAAGTTACCCACCCACAAATTACAACAGAACAGAGCAGAACAGAAGCACAACGACTCGACTGTCAAGGTTATCACACTGCCGTTAGAATTACGGCAATATATTGGTGCGTGATCACATGGGCCCGGTGGTTAGCGAGCAATTAGGCCAATTAAATAGCAATTAGACTAATTAACAGCTACTGAAATGATGAGAAATACTTCTGTCATTGCACATACCGACACAAGGTAATACAGCAACGGTGTTCTGAAATGTGGCAGTAACATGGCAGTAATAAATGAATTAATGATCTCCTATGACCCCTAATCGACAAATACAGTGAACCAATTTGTCACATGGAGCAGGCTTCTGTTTCAATTTCGAAGCGGATTCAAGAATACAGATAAAAAAGCCGCATAAAGTTCACAATTCACAAACACACACAAAGTGAAAAGTTCTCCCTCGCGAGAAGAGTGTAGCAAAACTATTTCCTGCCAGGCGAAACCTTGCAGTCATTGTTAACAACACGAACATTATACAGTTAAAACATGCCGCACATCACAGGGGGAAATGTGTGACGTCACACCACGTGACATGACGTCACATCACGTGTTGACCAAATAAGGAAAGACACGGATCAAGCTGGTAGCTACCGCAGGGAAAGGAGAGTCACTGAATAGCGACCTGACAACAGGTTGTATTATAATTACTGGCTATCAACAAGTGCTGTACCACGTGGGGTTGCCATGACAACGGCTACTGGACCACGTGGAGTGATGTTGCCATGACACCGAAATACACGTGAGAATATTCCAGAATATTCAGTAAGAGAGGTAGATACAATGCGAGCGTATCAGAGACGACAGAAACGCGTGTAAATTGCCAAGAGATTAGCGGCTCGTTGTACTGGTCAACTATTCGGGCTTTACAAATATCCGCCCGCAGCAAAACGGGGTACAAATGTGGTCACATGACCCACAAAAAATTGAAAGTCGGCTAGCAGTGAATAACATGCCAGAAATTCTACAAACTGAATCAAGGAGTGCTCTCGAGAGACGCTCGCGAGATTCTTGACAGGTTTCCGGATTTCAGGAATTTTCTGGAATTACATACAGAGCATCGAGAGCAATGACAGCCAGTTTTAAAGTTTGACAGCTATGGCGAGAAAATTGAGAGAAATATCAAGCCGGGTGACATGGCAGGGCAAAATAAATTATATGCGATAGCGAGAAGCAGCAATGATCAACGTAACACAAAGGTCAGACACAACATTGCGGCTGACAGACCAGCTGGTGTTTACACAAGCTAAACAAACAACATCGGGGATAAACAATTTGAATATAATCCCCCCGTCATGATTTCAAAGTGTTTACTTAATACCATTCCAGATATATTATAAGACCAGTGTCATGCAAGAGTCTGGCTAATCATATCACAGAGTTTCATAATGTTTCATCATGTTGGAGCTGGCCCGACTGCTCTCAGTGCATATCAAATTTAACAAGGACGCGTGTCACGAGGGTAGGGGAGAGAAGCTTGTTACATCAACTGCTAAATGAGCTCAGAGCTTTTGCAGTTCAAAGTTAGTGCTTGTTCACTGCTGATTTAAGTTTACTTGTTGTTGGAGCAAGCAAATATGATGGGCGTAAGAAAGTGAAGTAAGTAAGGTGCTTTCAAAGAGAAGCTTTATAAGGAAAAGAAGGAAGATCTCCGGGCAAAGGTGTTCTAAAGAAGACTAATAGAAAAGCAAAAGAATATTTAGAATCCGTCAAAACAATTTGTTAACAATAAAATGGCGCCTGTGGTCAACTGTCACGAAATAAATGATAAATCGCAAAATTAGGATTTGAAGATTAATTCGGCCAAATTCAGCACTTAAAAACGAGAGAATTTCTCCACCAGAAGTACAGAGCTAGAACAAAACAACTGAGCGCAAAACAAAATGAGAATAAACTAACATACGCAGAAAATAAGCTATTCAAGAAACAAAAAAGTTTGTCGCACACAGAAAAATAAGAGCGCAGAAAATGGGAGGGTCTAGTAATAAAAAAAATGTCTGGCTCCAAAGAAACAAGAAAAACGACCATATAGCGACTAATAAGCACATCAAATTATTTAACCTCATAAACTCAGAAAATAGGAAGGTCAAGAAACAAAATAATTCGTCCTGCTCAGAAAATACGCCGGTTCAGAAACAATTAACCAAAGAAAGTAGGCGACTATATTAGCTACCACAGTCAGAAAATAGGCAATTTTAAAAACAAATGATTTGTCCTGCTCAGAAAATTGAGCGCAGAAAACAGGCGGGTCTAGAAACAATAAAATTTTTCAAGTCCAGAAAATGGGCGGGAGTAGAAACTATCCAACACAGAGGGTAGTTCAGCAAACGGCCCGTCAAGAGACGAATAGGGGCTCAAACCAAGAGAATTAGCGCAACCGTACATACGCGTACCTACGAAGACAGATAAAGCTAAAGCTCCCAAACCGAATTAACACTTGGGGTTCACGTGAGCCAGCCTGCAAGGTCACGAGACCGCCTCGGTCACCCCCGTGACTGCCCAATGTACGGTTTTTAATTTCTACAAATTATCTATACCAGCTGGCATGTGCGGGCGAAATATCTCTATATATCATAATAATATATAATATTAGAGCTGCGAGACGTGACCACTGAAATATTAACGATCCGTGTCTCTCGTAGTACTTGCTTGTACAACTGCCATGAAAATTGGAAACAAAAACAATGGCATGGGATAAAAAGAAAGCTGGATTTGAAGAGGAGATAGAGGATGTCAGGGTTGCGATTAACAGGGTATTAATTAAACCTTGGGCCGGCAATTAAAGAGACATCCGCGTGTTTTGTGAGTGCGAATGTGTTCAACTAGTGGTTCAGAAAGACATTGCGTAATAGCTACAATTAACGTTAACCTCAAATTCTATGAGAGCATAAACTAAAGATACCTCAACTCGAAAAACCTCGGGTAAAATCCACAGCGGGAAACACCAATAATAACCCATAAAAGAATTTTATTCCGCAAAAGAGACACACTCACAACGACGCAACAGAGAAGGAGCGGGACACAAAACAAACAAATTCAACTTCCTAGCGAGACGGCTCAGGCTACAAGTTCAGGTCATACGACACCGAGCACCAGCTCAGGTGATGTTAAGATAAGGTCACGTTGTGTGTGGTAATCTGGTAACTTGGTCAGCTACGTTACCCGGTGAGGTAAGATGCCAAGGTGGGTGTGTAATGTGTGTCGGAGAGAGGGTGTAACAAAGAGGAGAATTACATTCCTAACCAAGGCGGATGTGAGATCATAATATTACTGACGTGGTTCGTGAACAACCATAAATCGGGAGATTTCCATACCAAACCATCCACAGTAACTGATATCACTGCTATTATATGACTGGTATTGATGTTGGCGCCTGGCTGACTCCCTGGATCGATAATAACGGTATCTGAGACCAACGGGCGGCAAATCTCAACAGAAATAGAATTAGAAAAGAGGAGCGTGAAATGACTGTGTGAATGTGATCACTCACAACCACAGAGCAGGGTCACGCGCCTTTTCATATCAACGGATCATTGAAACGATTATCTCACCAATTTGTATCCAGGGCAACATAAACGAATCATCTAATGGTAGCAATCATTAAAAATAACAAAATAAAATACTTAGAGCCACTAATACCCACTGTTTAAGAATACCTCGCAAACTCGCCGGGAAGATCAGAACGAGTTACTGAAGGGATATTCCGGGAAATAGAACAAACTGGAAACACAGCCGGAACATGCAGACGGTTAGGAAGCTGTAACAGCTGGGCAGCAGCGGTAAGTAAGCAACGAGCAGAAGAGCTCTAACATAATCAGACTGTACAGCGAGCTGTAGAGAGCGTATCAGATTACCGACAACACCTGGGCTTCTGTCCGGCCAATGACAGGCTGTGATTCAGTCATGTGATCAACGAACCAGCCAATGAGCGTGCAGGAATCTGCCCACGTGATGTAAATCAACCAATAGGATGTCAGTATCAGGAGAATATATAGTGCGAGTTATGAAGGGTGGGCTTGTAAGGATTCGGCCGGTGCAAAGTGTTGAATAATACGTGTACGATAATAGAAATATACGGATATATTGCGTGTACACGTATCAGGAGTGAGCGAGTAGTCCGCGACATAACCTGACAGTGGCCTGACGCCAGGTCTTTCGAGTCTAGAAGATGGTGACATAAGTTGTTGTGCTGACCTACCCAGCAAACATTCAGTTTTAGACATTAAACTAAATGCGTTAAATATATCGAGAAATATTCCGTCTGTTGCACGACCGTACATGTCAAGCCGGAGCTGCTAGACTGGGTTATTATTGGAATGCCACAAACGGGAATGTCGCCAGGCTGGGTGAACAAATAAACGTTTAATTGTGTCGGAATTAACGTTTATAAGACAACTTTAATTTCGGGACAATAAAACTAAATGCTATTTGTAGACTGGGGCTCGTCGGCGTTATGTTCTGATTACAGGTGGTGTTTTACAGCGCCAAAACGGCAAAAAATAACCCTGTCTTGAATAACGAATTTAAAGAAAGCATGGTCAATTTAAAGAATTGACCAGCGAGACAAAAACGTCGCGATATTCCACAAGATCCGCTAGGGTTGAACCAATGGAAGCGCATGTCAACTGAACACGGACCAATGGTAGAGCGAATCGACTAAACATGAACCTATATATATATTATATAGGAGGCAGTTTGACTAAACACATAACCCCGACTACACTGAGATTTTAGCGACCTCTCAGGGGTCACCTGATTGAAGTAGGAAGGTAATTATTCCATATAAGGTAAAAGCAATTGTCATACAGGTGCCGGCTGAGCTCTCATATAGATCTCTCCCTAGATTAATGCGTTATGAGATTGCAGCCGGTAAAGTCTGATAATGGGCGTCGTCACGTGCTGTGACGTCATGGAGATGGAGCGTTCTGATTGGGTGAATAAGTCACGTGACTGGAATTAGAGGTGCTGGTTGGCTAAGCGGGGATATTGTTAAAGTTGCAGCTGGTGTGTAGGTTTTAGCTGGCCGATCGGTGGGAGGGTAGGGATATATTAGACTGGGGCTGCTTGGCGATACTGCACTGGTGTTATAGTTGCTTAACCTTCTACTGCACTGGTAACTGGCAACTGGTAACTGGTCGGTAAACTCCTAACTGAGAGATGCCGGGAGTCCGATATTATCATTTCAATGGTACAGAAATAATAATTGTACGAGGTCTAAATTTTGGGAATTCTCAAAGGAATCACTTCATAAGCCTCCGAACATTTTCTGACTCATGGATGCAGCCATTAAGTTAAGAGAGTCTGACGGGGACAGAATACAGATAGAAATGGTGAGTGACTGCTTCAAGGGTACATAGCAAAGCTACGTTCGCCACCTCTTCAATATAACAAATTGAAAATAACTATGTGTCAGAGAACAAGAAAAATCACAACATATATATATTCGTAAGATATTATTCTGACAGTGTCTCAGAGAGAGCAAAGCAAGTACACGGCCGTAGAAAGAAGCAAGCAACAAAAGAGATTGACAGTGGCTGGTACACAACAAAACGTATTAAACAGCTCCCTCACTGTACATAGCTCCAACGTTAGCAATGTACATTTTCCAACGGACCAATCACGGTTGAGTTCTGCCCGCCAAATGACCAATCATAGCCGAGATACTCTGTCAGGTGACGTGTTTTTAACCAATGGGAAGACAAGAAAAGCCAGCGGTTCTACATGCGAAATTAACAAGCAGACCAGCAAGCGACACAGCTTGTGTGTTTCACTGGCGATACTAAGATGTGATTGGCTGGCTCGGCGCACGTGCACCGTATACAGCATTTTGATTGGCTGGTTTGAGCACAGTGACGAGAATAGGCTCCGGATAGAAAGTGGTCACGGAAGCACGGGTTGAGCAGCCAATGAGAAATGTTAGCGGCGAGCAGAGCGCCAATCAGAGCCCGGAACAGGTGACTGAGCTAGATTTGATTGGAATTGTCACGTGAGTGTGGTACGAGCCGGACATTGGTCGGATTTGTGGACGAGCAATGGTATTGGTGGGTCGACAATCTTGAAAGATAATGAGAGATGAAAGTGGTTTAACTGCTACAAAATTTCTAGTGTAATAAGATATTCATGCCTCGACTGTTCGCTCAGCATATCCGTTTAAAAGCTCATGACCTCAGACGAATGAAGCGGTCACTAACATTTTCATCTTCTCGGCTCCAGCAAAACAAACAGAAAAAAAGTCGAATTCAAAGACAAACGAACTTCTCTCAATTTAATCAAGTTAAAGTATGTTCTTACACACACACAAACACAGAGCGAAGAAAGGAAAAGCTGATCAGGTGATCTTGGGCAATAAAAAGCAACAGATGAATATTCTAGAAGGAATGCAATAAGCCGGCGAGAGAGAGAGAGAGAGAGAGAGAGAGAGAGAGAGAGAGAGAGAGAGAGAGAGAGAGAGAGAGAGAGAGAGAGAGAGAGAGAGAGAGAGAGAGAGAGAGAGAGAGAGAGAGAGAGAGAGAGAGAGAGAGAGAGAGATATAATAGTACACCAACGCTAAGCTCTGACGTGAGCCGAACGAGAGTAATTTGAGGAGACGAATCCGACTAATACCAGTCATCTCTCCGAGTCAGCACTTGGAGATACAATAGAGTAGCTGGAAAGTGATGGACCTTTATTGAGATAAATAGATCTGGAGCCTTGCCAACAATTAACTTTCATCGAGGAGGTCGCATCCCGTGATGTGTAAACTATTGTTGTTTGTGAGAGAGAATTGTACATTTTAGACTCCAACGCTTTGTGTTCAGCGAAGACCGCCATGAAATTGTTATTACCTATTTAACGTTTCAGTGTAAGCGATAGGCGATAATAGTAACGCTAACAGGTGTTCATATCGAAAACAAAGTTAATTTTCAGTTAACTAGAAACTAGGAAACCACTACAATCTCAAAAGGCGTGCGTCACAATGGTAACTTTAGCGGATGAGCTATTAATGCTTTTAGCAAGAAGGCTAATGACGGATGTGGTCTGTTTTTAATGAGAGATGATCTAAAAAGTTTAAAGTAATG